AGCCCGCAGCAAGACCACAAACAAACCCAGGGCGGGAGAAACAGCCGGGCCGGGCCAGCGCCGGGCTCGGTCCCGCGGGGCCAGGATCAGGTGCTTGCGAAGGAGCCCCGCGCCGGGAAGCCCGCAGTTAGTTCCTGCCCTGCGGCAGGAGGACCCAGAGCCCTGTCACTGGCAGCTGCAGCCAAAGCTACTCGCCAGGATTTCGCTCTTCTCCCCGCAAACAGACCCCCGCCCCCATCCTCAGATTCCAGATCCAGTGTCACCCCCCCAGAGGAGATGCTAATGCCCAGGGGGTGCCTGGACCTGCCCCTCTCGCCCCTGCAGCCTGGGCGCTCGCTGCCCCCCCAGGTGCAGCCCCAGTCAGCTCCCAGGCAGGGCAACAGGCCAGTTCTTGGCATGGTTAGACCCGACTTTAATCCCATTCACCCCCGTGTCAATCAGGAGTAACCCACTGGGCCCAATTCCCCTCACACTCGCCCTGGTGTAAATCAGGAGTAACCCACTGGGCTCACTCTTAGAATCATAGACTATCAGGGTTGGAAGGGACCTCAGGAGGTCATCGAGTCCCACCCCCTCTGCTCAAAGCAGGACCGATCCCCGACTAAATAACCCACCTGGCCCAATTCCCCTCTCACGCACCGTGGTGTAAATCAGGAGGCACTGTATGGAACTCGGTGCAAGCTGGCGCAGGAAGGGAGAGCCCGTTCCCTGAGCATGCTTTGTTTGCGGCCGCAGTCCGCCTTTGCCTGAAAGGCGCTGGTTACTCCTGGAGGTGTTTGGCTGCACCCTGAGCACACCACCCGGCTGGGAAATGACTCAGATCCACAGCTTGGCAACGCCCCTTTTTAATTTGATGCCACAACAACTTTGAAAACATATTTCTGAAAATCCCCAGCTCATAAGATCAACTCCTCCATGGTCCGTTTACACTGAATGGGCCCAGTGCTAAGTTGGTGTAAAGGGAAGTTACTACACTGGTTTATACCAGCTGAGGCTCTGGCCCCCGGAGCCTGGGACACAGCAGAAGCAGGTATGCAGGACACTGGAGTGTCCTGTTTACATGATGATCTGGTGGCTACAGAACCCCAGGACCAGGCCAGTTTCCTTGTCCCTGGTGAGTGATGCCTGGGGCAGCCAAGAAAGGCTGACTTAGGCCATTGCACAAACAAACCTCTCCTGGAAACTGAAGTCAGCAGCTCCCGGGCTCAGGCCTGGTTCCCACACCCCCAACACACATGGGGGCAGTTGGCTACACGGATTTAAAGGAGGACTTGTGGCACCTTAGAGACTAACCAATTTATCTGAGCATAAGCTTTCATGAGCTACAGCTCTCTTCATCAGATGCATTCAGTGGAAAACACAGGGGGGAGATTTATATACACAGAGAACATGAAACAATGGGTGTTACCATACACACTGTAAGGAGAGTGATCACTTAAGGTGAGCTATTACCAGCAAGGGGGGGGGGAGAAAACCCTTTGTAGTGATAATCAAGGTGGGCCATTTCCAGCAGTTGACAAGAACGTCTGAGGAACAGTGGGGGGGGGGGGGTGAAGGGGGGGAATAAACGTGGGGAAATAGTTTTACTTTGTGTAATGACCCATCCACTCCCAGTCTCTATTCAAGCCTCAGTTAATTGTTTGCAAATTAATTCCAATTCAGCAGTCTCTTGTTGGAGTCTGTTTGTGAAGTTTTTTTGTTGAAGAATTGCCACTTTTAGGTCTGTAATCGAGTGACCAAAGAGATTGAAGTGTTCTCCAACTGGTTTATGAATGTTATAATTCTTGACGTCTGATTTGTGTCCATTTATTCTTTTACGTAAGAGACTGTCCAGTTTGGCCAATGTACATGGCAGAGGGCATTGCTGGCACATGATGGCATATATCACATTGGTAGATGTGCAGGTGAACAAGCCTCTGATAGTGTGGCTGATGTGATTAGGCCCTGTGATGGTGTCCCCTGAATAGATACGTGGACACAGTTGGCAACGGGCTTTGTTGCAAGGATAGGTTCCTCGGTGAGTGGTTCTGTTGTGTGGTGTGTGGTTGCTGGTGAGTATTTGCTTCAGGTTGGGGGGCTGTCTGTAAGCAAGGACTGGCCTCTCTCCCAAGATCTGTGAGGGTGATGGGTCGTCCTTCAGGATAGGTTGTAGATCCTTGATGATGCGTTGGAGAGGTTTTAGTTGGGGGCTGAAGGTGACGGCTAGTGGCGATCTGTTATTTTCTTTGTTAGGCCTGTCCTGTAGTAGGTAACTTCTGGGAACTCTTCTGGCTCTATCAATCTGTTTCTTTACTTCTGCAGGTGGGTATTGTAGTTGTAAGAAAGCTTGACAGAGATCTTGTAGGTGTTTGTCTCTGTCTGAGGGGTTGGAGCAAATGCGGTTGTATCGCAGAGCTTGGCTGTAGATGATGGATCATGTGATGTGGTCAGGGTGAAAGCTGGAGGCATGTAGGTAGGAATAGCGGTCAGTAGGTTTCTGGTATAGGGTGGTGTTTATGTGACCATCGCTTATTAGCACCGTAGTGTCCAGGAAGTGGATCTCTTGTGTGGACTGGACCGGGCTGAGGTTGATGGTGGGATGGAAATTGTTGAAATCATGGTGGAATTCCTCAACGGCTTCTTTTCCATGGGTCCAGATGATGAAGATGTCATCAATATCTCGCAAGTAGAGTAGGGGCGTTAGGGGACGAGAGCTGAGGAAGCGTTGTTCTAAGTCAGCCATAAAAATGTTGGCATAATGTGGGGCCAGGCGGGTACCCATAGCAGTGCCGCTGATTTGAAGGTATACATTGTCCCCAAATGTGAAATAGTTATGGGTGAGGACAAAGTCACAAAGTTCAGCCACCAGGTTAGCCGTGACATTATCGGGGATAGTGTTCTTGACGGCTTGTAGTCCATCTTTGTGTGGGATGTTGGTGTAGAGGGCTTCTGCATCCATAGTGGCCAGGATGTTGTTTTCAGGAAGATCACCAATGGATTGTAGTTTCCTCAGGAAGTCAATGGCCCACCTTGATTATCACCACAAAAGGTTTTCTCCCCCCCCCCCCCCCGCTCTCCTGCTGGTATTAACTCATCTTACGTGATCAGTCTCCTTACAGTGTGTATGATAACACCCATTGTTTCATGTTCTCTGTGTATATAAATCTCCCCACTGTATTTTCCACTGAATGCATCCATCCAATGAAGTGAGCTGTAGCTCACAAAAGCTTATGCTCAAATAAATTGGCTAGTCTCTAAGGTGCCACTAGTCCTCTTTTTCTTTTTGTGAATACAAACTAACATGGCTGCTACTCTGATACATGGATTTAGTCTCCCATGGTGTCATGGGGGGAGGGAGAGCTCAGTGGTTTGAGCATTGGCCTGCTAAACCCAGGGTTGTGAGCTCAATCCTTGAGGGGTCTGGGGCAAAAATTGGGGATTGGTCCTACTTTGAGCAGGAGGTTGGACTAGATGACCTCCTGAGGTCCTGTCCCTTCCAACCCTGACATTCTGTGATTCACTGCGACCTCCACTCACCTGCCCACCAAGGATGGGCCACTGGACTAGGAGCTAGTTTGGCGTTTATTGATTAACTATTTCCTTTCTGCTTTGCTGCATTAATTCTGGAAGAGGAGTGACTGCGTGTATGTGTGGGTGTCTATGTTGAGTGCAAAGTTTGCACACAGCATGTGCACAGTGAATGTGTGTGTATACGTGTGTGCACAGGGTGTGGGCATGTCAGCATTCCCTGAATCCAAACTCCATGTCTGTTCACACTTACCCCACTTCTCTGGAGCCCCCCTCCCTCAGTCAAGCTAGTAGGAGCAGAGCAGTCCTTGGCCATAACAGAGCCTGGCTGGCGTGGATGCAGAGTGTGAGGAGGCGGAGAGAGCTGGTGTGTACAGACCAGGGCTGGTGCGTACGGACCGCCATTCCCTCTCAGCTGTGCACGTGCGTGTGCGCACAGATCCCAAACCTCACACACACGGTGAAACACTGTGCGCACAACAATTTGCACCAAAGACATTTTTTGCACACGCGGCCTGTCAAAAGTTAGAGGGAACATTGGTATGGACCAGGGCTGGTGTGTACGGACCAGGGTGCTCTGCCCAGCTGATCTCTGTGGATGGCGGCCCGTCTCAGCCCAGGATCCCACACTTTCTTATCCCTCTTCTGCAATGGGGACATGCCTGAGCAGGGGGGGCTAGGAGAGGAACCCAGGAGTCCTGGGGCTCCCTGGGCCCCTTCTCTGACCACTAGACTTCACTGCCCCTCACCTGGTAGATGACTCTAATGGGCCTGATGGAGACAGGCTGGCTGCCCTAGGAGCCGCCCCAGCCCCTGCCCCGCGCCCGGGAAGAGCACTGTGTCTCTGGCTGCCCGCAGGGGCCCGGGTGGGTCCCCCGGCTGGTGGCGAGGCTGCCGTTGCTCCTTTAAGGGCCGCCGCGCTGCGCCGAGCAGGTCTATGGTAATGAGCCTCCCGCAAGCCCCTGCCGCCGCGCCGCAGAACCGGGGCTGCCGGGCGGGGAGAGCGGAGCTGGGCCAGGGCGCTCGGCCGGGGGCGGCTCGGTCTCCTAGAGCCGGGGGCGCAGGGATCCGGGGGGCGAGATCCGGGGGGCACACGGGGATCGGGGGGCGGGGAGCCGGGGGGCGAGATCCGTGGGGCGCAGAGAGCCGGGGGGCGCACGGGGATCGGGGGGCGCACGGGGATCAGGGGGGGCGCACGGGGATCGGGGGGCGCAGGGAGCCGGGGGACGGGGAGCCGGGGGGGCGCAGGGAGCCGGGGGGCGCACGGGGATCGGGGGGCGCACGGGGGTCGGGGGGGCGCAGGGAGCCGGGGGGCGCACGGGGGTCGGGGGGGCGCAGGGAGCCGGGGGGCGGGGAGCGGGGGGGCGCACGGGGATCGGGGGGCGCAGGGAGCCGGGGCGCAGGGAGCCGGGGGGCGAGATCCGGGGGGCGCACGGGGATCGGGGGGGCGCAGGGAGCCGGGGGCGCAGGGAGCCGGCCGGGCATGAGGCCCGGGGCCGGGCAGCGCCGCCGTAGGAGCCGCCGCTGAGCCCCAGCGAGCGGGCGATGGGCGGTTGCTGCTGCCAGCCCAGCCGCGCTCTCCTGCTGCTCCTGGCGCTCGGGGTGCCGCGGCTGGAGGGCGCAGCGCCCGGGCACCGCGGGCCGTGCGCGCTGGGGCCCGCGGCCGGGACGCGGCTGATGCTGCTGGACCGGTCCCGGCCGCCGCCGCGCTGCGCCCTCTGGCTCTGTCCGGCAGGTGCAGCCGGCCTCTGGGCGCACATGGCCGGGCAGGGCTGCGGGGCTGCCGGGGAGAGGGAGCTGCTGAGCCGGCTGCTGCTGCCCCAGGCTCCTGGGGACAGGAGGTGGAGCTGGGCGCTGTGCTTGGAGCCCGGCTCCCGCATCCCCCTGCCGCCCGCGGCCGCTTGGGGAGGCTGCCAGCCGCGGTGCAGGGTGCGGGGCGCCGGGGGGAGCCTCTCCCCCCAGGCCTCGGGGGAGCTGATCCTCCCCGTCCGGGCCATGTGTCTCCGGTCGGGGCACCCGGTGCGCTTGGGGCTGCTGTGCGAGCGGTGCGCGAAGGGGGACGGGGCGGGGGGGCTCAGGCAGGGGAGGGGCGCTAGGACCTTGGTCAACTGGAGTCTGGGTCTGAGCTCCCCTGGGCAGCAGGTGGTGCTGGGGAAGCTGCTCCAGGGTGCGGACGGGGCCCCGGGCCGGGGGAGCAGCCGGAGGAAGCGGAACGTCAACACCAGCCCCCAGTTCCAGCCGCCCACGTACCAGGTGTCGGTGCCAGAGAACAGGCCAGCCGGCACCCCGGTGATCTCGCTGCAGGCCACGGACCCCGACGCGGGCGAGGCGGGCCGGCTGCACTACTCCATGGCGGCTCTCTTCGACAGCCGCTCCAGCAGCTGCTTCGCCATGGACCCCCTGAGCGGGGCCGTGAGCACGGCCGAGGAGCTGGACCGTGAGACCAAGAGCACCCACGTCTTCCGGGTGACGGCCGTGGACCATGGCACGCCCCGGCGCACAGCCCTGGCCACGCTCACCATCCTGGTGAGCGACACCAATGACCACAGCCCCACCTTCGAGCAGCAGGAGTACGAGGAGAGCGTGCGGGAGAACCTGGAGGTCGGGTACGAGGTGCTGACAGTCAGGGCCACCGACGGGGACGCCACTACCAACGCCGACATCCTCTACCGACTCCTCGATGGTGACGGGGCCAACGCAGCCTTTGAGATCGACCCCCGCTCCGGGGTCATCCGCACCAAGGGGCTGGTGGACAGGGAGTCTGTGGAGTCCTACCAGCTCCTGGTGGAGGCCAGCGACCAGGGCAGGGACCCGGGGCCCCGCAGCTCCACGGCTACCGTCCACATTGCCGTGGAGGACGACAATGACAATGCGCCGCAGTTCAGTGAGAAGCGCTACATGGCCCAGGTGCCTGAGGACGTGGCCACCAACTCCCATGTGCTGCGGGTGACGGCCACGGATCGGGACAAAGGCAGCAGTGCCCTGGTGCACTACAGCATCATGAGCGGGAACACCCGGGGCCAGTTCCACCTCGACGCCCAGACGGGCAGCATTGACGTGGTCAGCCAGCTGGACTACGAGCTGAGCAAGGAGTACACGCTCCGCATCCGGGCCCAGGACGGGGGGCGGCCCCCTCTGTCCAACATCAGCGGGCTGGTGACCATCCAGGTCTTGGACGTCAACGACAATGCTCCCATCTTCGTCAGCACCCCCTTCCAGTCCACGGTGCTGGAGAACGTGCCCCTCGGCTACTCGGTCCTACACATCCAGGCCGTCGATGCGGACTCCGGGGATAATGCTCGACTGCAGTATGCCCTGCTGGAGGCCGGCCCCAGGTTCCCCTTCGCCATCAGCAACAGCACGGGCTGGATCGTGGTGGCCTCGGAGCTGGACCGGGAGACGGTGGATTTCTACAGCTTTGGGGTGGAGGCCCGGGACCACGGCAGCCCCCCCATGGCTTCCTCGGCCAGTGTCAGCATCACTGTGCTGGACGTGAATGACAACAACCCCGAGTTCACCCCGAAGGAGTACTCTGTGCGGCTGAACGAGGATGCTGCCATGGGCACCAGTGTCCTGACCGTCTCGGCCATTGACCGGGACGCCAACAGCGTCATCACCTACCAGATAGCCAACGGCAACACCCGCAACCGCTTCTCCATCACCAGCCAGAGTGGGGGCGGCCTCATCACCCTGGCGCTGCCGCTGGATTACAAGTTGGAGCGGCAATACCTGTTGACTGTCACGGCCTCCGACGGCACCCGGCTCGACACGGCCCGGGTGTTCGTCAATGTGACTGATGCCAACACCCACCGGCCAGTCTTCCAGAGCTCCCACTACACTGTCAACATCAATGAGGACCGGCCGGTTGGCACCACGGTGGTGCTCATCAGTGCCACAGACGAGGACACGGGGGAGAACGCCCGTATCACCTACTTTATGGAGGACAGTATCCCCCAGTTCCAGATCGACGTGGACACAGGCGCAGTCACTACCCAGATGGAGCTGGACTACGAGGACCAAGTGTCCTACACACTGGCCATCACGGCCCGGGACAATGGCATTCCGCAGAAATCAGACACCACCTACTTGGAAATCCTGGTCAACGACGTCAACGACAACACACCCCAATTTCTGCGGGATGCCTACCAGGGCTCTGTCTACGAGGATGTCCCGGCCTTCACCAGCGTCCTGCAGGTCTCCGCCACTGACCGGGACTCGGGGCTCAATGGGAGGGTGTTCTACACCTTCCAAGGTGGAGATGATGGGGATGGGGACTTCATAATTGAATCTACCTCCGGCATCGTGCGGACGTTGCGCCGGTTGGACCGGGAGAACGTCCCTCTCTACGAGCTACGAGCCTACGCTGTGGACAAGGGCATCCCGGCCACAAGGACCCCTGTCGACATCCAGGTGGCCATCCTGGATGTGAACGACAACCCCCCGGTCTTTGAGCGGGACGAGTTTGACGTCTTTGTGGCAGAGAACAGCCCCATTGGCCTGGCGGTGGCGCAGATCACGGCCAGCGACCCGGACGAGGGCACCAATGCCCAGGTCATGTACCAGATCGTGGAGGGCAACATTCCCGAGGTCTTCCAGCTCGACATCTTCTCCGGGGAGCTGACGGCGCTGATGGATCTGGATTACGAGGCCAAGGCAGAGTATGTCATCGTGGTCCAGGCCACCTCAGCCCCGCTGGTGAGCCGGGCCACGGTGCACGTCCGCCTGTTGGACCAGAATGACAACCCCCCTATGCTGAGAAACTTTGAGATCCTCTTCAACAACTACATCACCAACAAGTCCAGCAGCTTCCCCAGCGGGGTGATCGGCCGCATCCCAGCCCATGACCCCGACATCTCGGACACGCTCACCTACAGCTTTGAGCAGGGCAACGAGCTGCACCTGGTGCTGCTGAACCGCAGTTCTGGGGAGCTGCGTCTGAGCCGGGCGCTGGACAACAACAGGCCCCTGGAGGCCATCATGCGGGTGTCTGTCTCAGGTAAGACTCCGGCCGGGCTGGGGGGGCCTAGGCCAAACTCAGGGGCACATTCAGGTCGGTGGGGTTTTGTCCTGGACGTTCAAGGGGCCGGGGTGTCAGCCAGAGAAGGGGGGAAGGACCCATTCGGTGTCGCGCAGGCCAGAGGGCCCACGCCGGGGTCCTGGCCGGAGCAGCGTCTCTTGGATGCAGGTGTCCAGCCTCGCCACAAAGACTCCGAGCCACAGTGGAGGTGCCCTGGTCTGGGGCAAACTGCCCAGTGGCTCTGATCTCAGACTTGTAGTGGGGCTAGTGGATATTCCGCGCTGGTGGCCACTTTGTGCCAGGCCCTCTGGCCTCCAGTCCACCTTGAGATCGGGGGTGGGGCGGGAGCTGCTCATTGGTCTCTGCAATTGGCTAAGGCCCAACCAAAGTGCAAATCCCCTGGCTGGGCGATGAGGGAGGCTGTGGCAGCCTGCCAGGGACACCCCCCTCTGCACGCTCAAAACTAACCACACGGGGCTAGCGCAGGAGGCTATGACCTTTCCACGGCCGAGCCGCCCTCAGCCCAGGGGCCAGCAGAGCCGGGGCGGGTGGAGGCTGCCCCACCTCCTCCTCTAGCTTCCAGGGTCTCCCCTGGAAGGGCCCCTGGGAGCCCCGCAGAGAGCAAGGCTCTGGGTTCTGGTGCAGGAGGCAGGCGTGGGGCCATCGCTGGGGCCGTGGGGCTGCATCGCTCAGGGCTCTGCTACAGAAGTGGCTGGGCCCCCTCAGGATAATCACAAGGGCTGTGTGTGGCTGTGGTACGGGGGTGGGGACCAAGCAGGGGGGTGGTGCCCATGGAAGGGGCGATCCCTAGAGCTAGCCAGACAGCTTGCCCCGTCCTGCTCCCCTAAATGTAGCTGTAGTGGTGTGGTGGGTGCTGGGGGAGGGGCGGAGCACGGTGGGTGCCGGGGGACGTGGTGCAGCAGGTGTTGGGGGAGGGGCGTGATGGATGCCGGGGGAGGGGCGCGGTGGGTGCCGGGGGCCGTGGTGCAGCAGGTCCCAGGGGAGGGGCAGCGGGTGCCGGGGGAGGGGCGTGATGGGTGCCGGGGGGAGGGGCGCGGTGGGTGCAGGGGCGTGCTGCAGCAGGTGTTGGGGGAGGGGCGCGGTGGGTGCCGGGGGAGGGGTGCGGTGGGTGCCGGGGGGCGTGGTGCAGCAGGTGCCGGGGGAGGGGCTCGGTGGGTGCCGGGGGAGGGGCGTGGTGGGTGCCGGGGTGTGTGGTGCAGTAGGTGTTGGGGGAGGGGCGCGGTGGGTGCCGGGGGCGTGATGCAGCAGGTGCCGGGGGAGGGGCAGCGGGCGCCGGGGGAGGGGCGCGGTGGGTGCCAGGGGGCTGGGCAGCAGGTGCCGGGGGAGGGGCGTGGGTGCCGGGGGGGGTGGGTGGGTGCGGGGGTGGTGCAGCAGGTGCCGGGGGGGGGCAGTGGGTGCCGGGGAGGGTGCGGTGGGTGCCAGGGGGCATGGTGCAGCAGGTGCCGGGGGAGGGGCAGTGGGTGCCGGGGGAGGGTGCGGTGGGTGCGGGGGGTGGTGCAGGTGCCGGGGGAGGGCACGGCGCCGGGGGAGGGCGTGGGTGCCGGGGGGGGCGCAGGTGCTGGGGGAGGGGCGCGGTGGGTGCCGGGGGGGTGTGGTGCAGCAGGTGCCGGGGGAGGGCTGTGGTGCAGCAGGTGCCGGGGGAGGGGCAGCGGGCGCCGGGGGAGGGGCGCGGTGGGTGCCGGGGGGGTGTGGTGCAGCAGGTGCCGGGGGAGGGGCGCGATCTCACAGCAGTGCGGGACCTGCCCGGGGCGCCAGGCCGGTGATCGGGGCCGAGGGCTGTGACTGTCACGCGGGCTCTTTCCACCTTAGCCAGAGCTAGGATCAGGCAGCTGCTGAGTGTCTCCTTGGTGGCCCCTCCGGCGGTCCCTGGTGCTGGGTGCTTCCGTGTGGGGGCTCTCCGGGGTCATGACCCACAGCTGGCTGGGGACAGGATTTGGCTGGTGGGGCAGAGGGGGCTGGCTCACAGCCTGCCAGGGGAGCACAGAGCCCCAGGGCTTTGCCTTGGCCCTGTCAGGGCCAGGAGTCGCTGCCCGGGAGGGGCTGCTCAGACCCACCACAGCCGTTCAGCCCGTCCCTGCTGTCTGTCTGCAGCGCTGCCGGCCCCTCGCAGGGCGACCGGCCTGACCCTCTGGGCACGGCTCCTCTTCCTGTGGGCCCCCACCCCCCCCGGGCTTTCTGTGCCCGACTGCCTTGGAATTGCGGGTTGGGGGGCTGGGCCAGAGAGGCCGGGTGTGTGGAACATGCTTGGCCTATGACAGCCAGAGCTAACCCCGGTGTCTCCCCTGCCAGCTAGCCCCTGGCCACTGGGCCACCCTGCCAGCTAGCCTCAGCCACCCTGCCCCACCTGCCCCCAGCCCCCTGGTGTGGGAGTCTCAGAGGAGAAGAGAAGATCGGAGTGGGCCTGGGGACAAGTGTCGGGGGGAGGGGCTGGCCGTGCCCATGGGCTAGGGCTGAATCTGAGGCCTCCAGTCTGGGACCTTTCCCCAGCATGCGAGTGGCTGGCACGGGGCCTGAGAAGCAGGGCGGGGTGTGTACCTCGCCAGGCCTTCCCTGCACAGGCTTGGAGGCAGGGCCTGCCCACGATCTCCCGCTCCCGGCTCGGGATTTCCCCTGCACGAGTTGGCGCTTGTTGGCGTCTCGCTTGGGCCCCTGTTCTGCCAGCCTGCTGCTGGGGGCCACGGAGCTGCGTCTGCATGGGGGCAGGGCACACTTGGCCCCCCGCGGTGCCGTGCTGGGGAGCCTGCAGCTGCAGCAGCGAGGTGCCGGGCGCTGCCGGCCAAGGGTGTTGCTGGGGCTGTGCTGGGCGGAGAGGAGGGTGTGCCAGGCTGGGACGAGCCGGGGCAGGACGCGGCACCGGGGGACGAAACGTGCCGCAGGGGTGGGGGAAGCTGCTGAAGCTGCATTTCTGATGATCTGTGCCATGTGACCAGCCTGGATCCCTCTCCCCAGCCCAGCGGGGCCAGCGGTGAGGACGGGCGCTAGCCAGAGCCCATTGGACTGGTGCTGCCTGCTGCCTGGGCTGCTCTCGGTGTCCCAGGGCCTGGCTGGCCCGGCTGAGCTGGCGTGGGGTGGGGAGGGGTAGCTGCTCACTGCAGCAGGGGGTGTTCACCCACCCGACCTGCCTGCCGCCGGGCCCTGCTGGAGCCCCGCAACCGAGGGGCCCCTGCTTAATGCAGCCGAAGGGGTAGGTCTGGGACCAGCTGGCAGCTGCAGGCTGGGGGTGGCTGGGGAGCAGCTGTGCCTGAGCCCTGCCATTAGCCTCTCCATGGGGGGGCCGTGCCGTGCACCTGCTGGGCTGGGGGAGGGATCGGAGCAGGTAGGCGCTGGGCCGGGCCGCTCTCGCTGGGGGGGCTGGTGATTAGAGCAGTCGCAGCTGGGCCCCCTGCCAGGGCGGTCCCAGCTGGGGCCATGCTGCGAGGTGTCAATAACTCAGACACGTGGCAGCTTTAACCTCCTGCCCCCGGGAGACGCACCAAGCCCTGCCGCCAAGGGGCGGATGCCGTGGCAGGGGCTGGCTTCTCTCCTGGCAGACACAGCGAGGGAGCCGCCCCCCAGCCCTACCACCAGCCTGGCTCAGGTCGTGGTGCCCAGCTGGGGACGAGCCTGAGGAAGGGGCTGGGGGCCTGTTTGTGCATTAGGTGTGGGGTTGATTGGGGCTGGGGGGAGAGCCAGGGCTAGAGCCCACTGGGAGTCAGGTGCCTACCTGCCTTTGGGGGTCTGGGCCCGAGCTTCTCCGCAGGAGATGATCCTGAAAACACCTTGGCCCATTGAGCTACGATTCCACGGCCCCCTTGGGGTCCCTGCAAAGGGCCCATCTCCACCAGCAGGACACGGGAGAAGCCCACTGGGGCCAGCCTGGAGGAGTGGGGTGGACAGCAGCCCCCAAACCCTGCTGCCTGGTGCATGGGGCTGGGGGAGAGAGCCAGGGCTGCAGGGCCAGTGACTGCCGTGCTGAGGAAGGACTTGTTACTGCTGCCCCCCGCCAGCCCGACCCGCAGCTCCCCACATTGGGCCAGCTCCAAGCTGCAGGGAATAGCCCACCAGTTTTCAGCTGTGTCCCTGTGTTCCCGGGGATACACCTCCGCCTGTCAGACTTGTCCTGCTGCTGCCCCCTAAGCCAGGGGCCTGGCTGTGCCCACACGAGCACAAAGCCCAGGGCATGACGGAGAGGGTGGGGGCTGAGGGGTGGCGGGGGCTTGGTGGCAGCTAATACACTCGAACCATCTGCTCACCAGTGGGGCTGCAGGCAGAGGCCTGGCTGCCCATGGGCTGCTCACGGAGCGCCTCTGCCTGGCCCTGCTCTGGGCAAGGGCTGCCGCTGAGGGAAGAGGGGCACTGGGGGGCGGCCCGGGGGATTGGTGGGTCGAGAAGCCAAGAGATTAGCCCAGCTCGACCTATATGGTTTAGGAGGGGGTGGGGCCTGGAGGGGCCCAGGAGCCTTGACTGGCAAGGAGCGGATTGCTGCCATAAGCCGCTGGAGAGACCTGAAGTAGGTCAGGGGCATCCGGCACCCCGGTGAGGCCCATCCCCCCGGCATCTGGCGCTGCCCCCGAACCCACCCCATCAGCCACTTCATGAGGCTGCACTGTGGGGCTGTCAGGGGAAGGTGGCCTGGGCACAGCCTGTGGGGCTGGGAAGAGCTCTCCTGAGCCAGGCGAAGTGAAGGCTTGTATGACCCAGGGTTGAGCAGAGGGGCACCCCATTTCCCTGCAGGGAGGGGACCAGCCCCCCAGGTGCCCAGGGCAGCCACACCAGGGAGCAGCCTGCAGGAGCTGGGAGGAGGGCGATGGACATGCTGGGGTGTCAGGCTGGAGGGGACCCCAGAGCCCAGCCCCGTTCGCAGGGAGATCAGGGGAGCTGAGGGGGGAGGGGTGAAGGGGAGAGAAGCATCATACTGAGTTGTGATGCCCTGGGAGGTCTCCTCCCCAGGCAGAGCCCCAGAGAGGTCCCTTCCTACC